TGGCTTCTCTCCACTGACTGGGAGACCTCAGGCACTGCGTCGTTTACCCCCAGGGCCCAGCATGGTATCCCGAGTACAGCAGATGTCCAATGAATGTTGGCAAGATAAGAGAGCCAACTTGGTGATTTATGTGGAACGAGTTCAAGATTAAAAAAGAGGAATATTACATTTTCACAGCATGCTAGCAAGCTGATTACTCCCTTTGAATGTTATAGTCCAGTCCTGCAGGATGGACGAGAACCTCCTTCTCTCCTTTTAGATGCTTCCTTGCTACTTGCCTTGTTATTCTTTTTCTGTTTATGTTCTATTTTCTTCTCTCTCACTTCTTCCTCATTTCCTGCTCTCCTTTTTCACTTTTGCCTAACTGTGTTGAATCAAAGAATATTTTAGTATATTGCATTTATCAAATACAAATGAATGTCTACATTTTTTAAAGACCAGATAAATTTAACATCCTTTAATTTTTTTCCTTTTTAAATCATATTTTATTGATTATGCTATTATGGTTGTCCTGATTTCTCCTCCTTTTCTCCCCCTCTATGTAGCACCCCCTCAGACAACCGCTGCACCATCATTCCTGTCCCTGGGTCATGCGTGTAAGTTCTTTGGCTCCTCCGCTTCCGATACTGTACTCTACATCACCATGACTACTCTGTGACTACCTATTTGTACTTCTTAACCCCCTCACCTCTTCACTCATTCTCACATACCCTCTCCCACCTGGCAACCATCAAAACACTCTTGGTATCCATTATTCTGTCTCTGTTCTTCTTGTTTGCTTAGTTTGTTTTTTAGGTTCAATTATTGATACATATGTATTTATTGCCATTTTATTGTTCATGGCTTGAATTTTCTTCTTTTTCCTAAATAAGTCTCTTTCACATTTCATTTAGTAATGGTCTGGCGATGATAAACTCCTTTAGTTTTTTCTTGTCTGGGAAGTTCTTTATCTTCCCTTCAACTCTAAGTGCTAGCTTTGCTGGGTGGAGCAACTTGACTGTAAGTCTCCGATTTTCATGACTTTGCATATTTCTTGCCAATCCCTTCAAATCTACAGTTTCTTTTGAGAAATCAGCTGACAGTCTTATGGGCACTCCTCTGCAGGTAACTAACTTCTTTCCTCTTGCTGCTTTTAAGATTCTCTCTTTCTCTTTAACCTTTGGCATTTTAATTACGATGTGTCTTGGAGTGGGCCTCTTTGCATCGATCATAATTGGGAATCTGTGCTTCCTGGACTTGCATCTCTTTCCTTCACCAAATTAGGGACATTTTCTCTCATTATTTTTCAAGTAGATTTCCAATATCTTGCTCTTTCTCTTATCCTTCTGGCACCCTGATGGTGCAAATGTTGGAACACTTTAAGTTGTCCCAGAGGCTGCTTATGCTATGCTCGTTTTGGGGGTTTCTTTTCTCTTCTTGTTTGTTTTTTTCTCCCTTATGTTCCATGTCATTGATTTGATTCTAGGCTTCATCCACTCTACTGTTGCTTCCCTGTAAATTGTCCTTTATTTCAATCAGTGAGTCCTTCATTTCTGACTGGACCTTCTTATATTGTTGAGGTCCTCACTATGTTCCTTGAGCATCTTTATAACCAGTGTTTTGAACTCTGCATCTGATAGATTGCTTATCCCCATTTCATTTAGCTCATTTTCTGAAGTTTTGATGTTCTTTCATTTGGGCCATGTTTCTTTGTCTCCTTGTTTTGGCAGCCTCCCTGTGTTTGCTTCTATGTATTAGGCAGAGCTGCTTTGACTCCCTCTCTTGGTAGCGTGGCCTAATGTAGTAGGTGTCCTGTAGGGTCCAGTGGCACAACCTCCCCTATCACCTAAGCTGCGTACTCTAGGTGTGCCCTTCATGTAGGCTGAGTACACCCTTCTCTTGTAGTTGACCCAGGATTGCTGTTGGCAGATCAATGGGAGGGATCTACCCAGGCCAGTCAGGTGAAAGGATTGGCTATGGTCACATACTACCAACCTCTGCCCTTTGTGGAGAGTCAGCTGTGCAGGCGCAGGATGGTGGTGCGCTGACATGGTCTGTAGCTGTCCACTGTGTGCGCCGGCCCCGGGGTCTCCCCAGGTGGTGTGGGAGAAAATCAGCTCTCATCTGTGTTTTGCCTGGGGCCACCCTGCCTGAGCTATAAAGCAATCTGAGAAGGCTGCTACTTGTGCTGGGTTTGGAGATTCCCAGGCAAAGCCAATCTGTGAATCTAGGCTGGGTACTGCTAGTGCTGGGCCTGAGACTCACTGAGGCCAGCTGTTTCTTGTTTGATAGGATTTAGGAAGTTGTGCAGCATGAGCCAAAACCAGCCACTCATATGCAAAAGAAGCTTGGGTGGGCCCATCAGTTGGGTGGGGCAGAGTCTCTGGGGATCTCCAAGGCAGGTCAAACAGTGTTAGCCAGGTTAATGGAGTCTCAGATATGGCACCAGCTTGCCGGCTCTGTGGGGACAGGATTTAGAAAAGGGACAATGACCTCTGCTTGCTTTGATGCCAGACACTTCAGTTTCTCCCTTTATGCTCTGGTGCCCTTCAAGCAGCCACCCTGGTGCTGGAGCTCAGAGGGAGTGAGTCTGAGTAGGTGCGTCTGTGTGTGGGCTCTTTAAGAAGAACTGCTTGGAGCTCCCGAGGTTTCTTCCACCAATTCAGTCCCTGCTGGTTTTTGCAGCCAGAAATTGTGGAACTTAACTCCCTGGCACTGGAACCCCGGGATGGAGGGCCTGATGGGGGGCTGGGACTCCTTCCAGAGATATCCCTCCCAAATTTTTATCCACCACGTGTGGGCGAGGGACCAGCCCATTCCCTGGCTGTGCCCCTCCTACCAGTCTGGATGGATGTGGTTTCTTTAATTACATAGTCAGACTTCCATTCAATTCAATTTCTGATGGCTCTAAGTGATGGTTGTTCTATATTTTAGTTGTAATTTTGATGTGGTTGTGCGAAGAGGTGGGCCATGTTTGCCTACACTGCCACCCAGACCCAAAGTCAATATCTCTTTTTTAAAAAAACTAAATTGGCTTGGTGGCACTCATTAGGAAAAAAATCCATTCTCCTCCCTAGGCTCTCTGGAGGTTCTCTCTTGAAGGGGGTGAGTTTCATGAGGTCTCCAATGCACCTGTGTATCTTTGGAAAAAAAGCCCATGAACTTGCCCTAGGCAAGGCAATCAGCTTTGCCAAACCTCAGTTTCCATATCTGTGAAGTTGTTCCACCCGCCAGTTCCACGCTGCCAACGCAGAACATCCTTCAGCTCAGCCAGCTGACCCTTCTGAAATCTGAGCCACAGCCCACTTTAATTTCCGTTCTCTCATTACCCATTTTGGTAACTCAATATACAATTTATGCAACAAACATGTACTGAACCCCTTCTAGTACCAGGCCCTGGGGATTCAGGGATGAATATGATACAGCACTGGACCATGTATAAGAGACAGATGGCCTAGAACGCAGACAAGTAGACACAGGCGTGATGGGTCCGTGGGCAGAGTAAGCTCAGGAGCCATGAATGGGGGAGAGGAGCAGACACCTTGACCTTGTTCTGGGCTGGAATCGGGGAGGAGGTCATTAGAAACACCTTTCTGGAGTATGGCACCCCTGAACTGAGGGCTGTTCTTTTACAACTTTTATAAGTATTTTTCCTACAGTAGCCCAGGCTCTGCGAGGAGAGTTTAGAAATACACACAGTTATGACTGGATGGTGAAGGCTGGGTGAAGACTCCTCCCGCCTCATTTGCAATCATTCATTCCCTTTCAGTTTCTTTTCCTTCCCAGGCCTGTTTTCCTGCTTCCCGCACCTCATGGAAGCCTGCGGCTCCCCCCAATTCCATTGGTATCCCCCAGAGGAAGCCTTTTGAGAATTCCGGCTGCTTCAGCGGCCTGTGCGCTCATTAGTACCTGTGGTCTTCATCAGCTGCCATGACAGAGTCACCTGTGAGGAGAACGCTGTCATCTCGCAGCTGAAACGAGACTGGGAAGGACAAGGGTGAACGGCAGAGCCCTCTGACTGGTACCAGGACTCTGCCAGGGTCCTGGGAAAGCAGGTCTGGGTCCGAGTCCCAAACAGCATGATGCTTTGGAGACTGTTGCCTTACCCTCGCCGGGAGTGTGTCAAAGAACTAAGGCTTCTCCCTCTCCCCCAAAGAACCCAGGGCAGGTGTGAGGGTCACCAGAGACATGTGAATGTGGGGTGCCAAACAGTTACAGGAGGGCGGCATTGTTACAAAGGAACCCTCAGGGGCCTCGCGCAGGTTTGCTCTCTGGGCCGGCACCACACTGCCTGCAGATTTGGGCCGGACTGAACTGCGGAGCTGGGGACAAATGTCCGTCACAAACCCCGATGTGTTCATCGTCTGCCTTTTGCCCCTCCAAACTGCTAGTTTGAGGAGCAAGATGAGATGAGAGGTCCCAGGGAGAGAGGAGAGATTAATGAAAACCTCCCCCTGGTGAACTGGAGCGCAGTAGGCAGCTTTGAGGGAAAATGACTCTAGCCGGGTGGGGGTGGGGGTGGGGGGCCTGGGGGCACTCAAACCCCCAGAGTTGGAGCAGCAGCTCCCGCCGTGGGGCTGCTGCTTCCCGCGCCTCCTCCAAAGCAAGGGCGTTCCAAGCAGGGCCACTGCAAGTGCTGCGGTGCGGAGAAGGACGAGGGCAAATCCAGCTGGGCCTCCTCAGCGACTTTCCAATTCCGTCCGGCGTCTGAGCGTCACCACACCTGGCAGTGAAGTCCAGAGATGAGCCCATTTCTGGATGTGAGAGCGGAGCTCGGGAGGGATCGGTGATTTGCAGGGTCACCAGTAATGCACGTGGAGAATGGAGCATTTTCAGCGCGCGCCAGGAGGGTCCGCTCCAGGAAGTGGGTTTTGAGTGGGGGCGGGCGGCGGCCCAGGAACACGGAGGCTTCCCGGCCGCACTGGCGTTGCCGGGCGCGCGGTTGCCGGTTGACCCCGGCTGTTGACCCTCCAGCGGAAAACGCCAGAAGCAGGGCTCGCTGAGCGCTCGCCGCAGCCACCATGGCCTCCCGCAGCGCGGGCACCCTAGTGACCGAGTTCAGTGCTGCCTACAGGCCCCCTGCCCTCATGCCAGGGTAAGGCCACAGCGCACCCAGGCTGAACCTGCAGGTTGGAGCCCCCGGGACACCTTCCCCTTCCCCCGCCCCTGAAACCCTCCTCTGTCGTCCAGACTCCGCCCCTGCATCTATGGGGTTTGAAGGAACCCAAGGTGCCAATTTTCTGCCCAGCTGGGTGGTCCCCCCACCCCCTGCCAAGGGATGAGAGCTCAGAGCAGGCGGTGGCCAGGCGCGGAGCTGAGGCTCTCCAGATCCCCCTTGGTGGGACGTCAGTCCCTAGCAGAGACAGAATGCACCCAGGCCATGATAAGGGGACCTCCAGTGGGTGGGGGCAGGGTTAGGGGGAGGAGAGGGAGACATCCTATGGGGTTCAAGTTTGGAGACCCCGGGCAGGAGCAAGAAGGTGAGAAATCCCCCAAAAGTTAGCAGGCTTGTAAGCCTCCAGCACAGTTCAGGCTCCCAGGACTTGCGCAACATTAGTATTTGTCCTTTAAGAAGCTAAGGACACTTCCGGCCAAGATGGAGGCATAGGTAGATACACTTTGCCTCCTTGTACAACCAAAATAAGGACAACAACACATTTAAAAACAAAAAATAACCAGAACTGTTAGAAAATCTGGGTTCTCAAGCTGTATGGAAGCCTGACAACCAAGGAGTTAAAGAAGAAACACTCGTCCAGACCGGTAGGAGGAGTGGAGATGGGCAGCCGGGGTGGAGAGGACATGGGGCAAGGCAGTGGCTGGAGGACCAGGGTGGGCGAGGTGGCTGCTGGTGGAGCGGGTGGTCCCACATTTGCGTGTGGGTAAACCCAGAGGAACAACTGGGGGGTGAGACAGACTGCGCAACCCAGGGTTCCAGCGTGGAGAAATAAAGCCTCAAAACCTCTGACTGTAAAAACTTATGGGAATTGAAGTGGAGGGAGAAATTCCTAGCCTCACAAGAGAGTTCGTTGGAGAGACCCACAGGGTCCTAGAATGTACACAAACCCACCACCCAGGAGTCAGCACCAGCAGGGCCCAAGTTGCTTGTGGGTAGAGGAGGAAGTGATTGGAAGCCCAGAGAATGCTGAGCAAGTGGCATTGTTTCTTCTCTGTCCTCTCCCCCACATACAGCACCACAACACAACAGGGTTGCCCCACCCTGGCAAACACCTGAGGCTCCACCCCTTACTATGTAACAGGCCCAGGGGGGCGAAAATATATGGCCCAAATGAAAGAACAGATCAAAGCTTCAGAAAAAATACAACTAAGTGACAAAGAGATAATCGACCTATCAGATGCCCAGTTCAAAACGCTGTTAATCAGGATGCTCACAGAAACAGGGGAGTGTGATTGCAAAATAGGAAAAGCAAAGACTATGCAACATGAAATAAAGGAAAATGTACAGGGCACCAACAGTGACAGGAAGGAAACTGGGACTCAAGTCAATGGTTTGGAGTAGAAGAAAGGAATAAATATTCAACTAGAACAAAATGAAGAAACAAGAATTCAAAAAAAAAAATGAGGAGAGGCTCAGGAACCTCTAAGACAACTTTAAACATTCTAACATGCAAATCATAAGGGTTCCAGAAGGAGAAGAGGAAGAGCAAGAAACTGAAAACTTATTTGAAAACATAATGAAGGAGAACTTCCTCAATCTGGCAAAGGAAATAGACTTCTAGGAAGTCCAGGAAGCTCAGAGAGTCCCAAAGAAGTTGGACCCAAGGAAGTACACACCAAGGCACATCATAATTACATTGGCCAAGATGAAAGATAAGGAGAGAATCTTAAAAGCAGCACGAGAAAAGCAGAGAGTTACCTACAAAGGAATTCCCAAAAGAAACCTTGCAGCTGATTTCTCAAAAGAAACCTTGCAGACAAAAAGGGGCTGGAAAGAAGTATTCAAAGTCATGAAAGGCAAAGACCTAAATCGAAGATTACTGTATCCAGCAAACCTATCATTTAGAATGGAAGGGCAGATAAAGTACTTCCCAGATAAGGTCAAGTTAAAGGAATTCATCATCACCAAACCATTATTATATGAAATGTTAAAGGGACTTATCTAAGAAAAAGAAGATGTTCAAAAATATGAACAGTAAAATGACAATAAACTCACAACTATCAACAACCAAACCTAAAAAACCCAAAAAACAAATATGAACTAAGCAACTAGAACAGGAACAGATTCATGGAAATAGAGATAACATGGAGGGGAGCGGGAGGGAGAGAATGGGGAAACAGGGACAGGGAACAAGAAGCATAAACGGTAGGTACAAAATAGACAAGGGGAGGTTAAGAATAATATAAGAAATGGAGAAGCTGAAGAATTGTATGTATGACCCATGGACATGAACTAAGGGGAATGATGCTGGGAGGGGTGGTACAAGGTGGAGGGGAATATAGAGGAGAAAAAAATGGGGCAACTGTAATAGCATAATCAATAAAATATATCTTAAGAGAAGAAGTTAAGACCAATGGGCACCTGGGGGTGGGCCTTGGAACCCTGGCAGGATGGCTGTGTGCACTGTCCTGGGCGTGGGGCCAGCTCTCCCAGCGCCCTCCCTGCATCCTCTCGGTGTGCTGGCTCTGAACGGTTCCTCGCCCCCAGGGCTGCCTGGCTTTTAGCATTGCCAATGCAGGGTCAAACCTACCTTGTCTTTCTCTGGATGTTTTCAAACACCAAACATCCAAGATGCAAGTCTGATTGTTTCCTTCTTGCCCTTTCCCCCAAAGTGTCTGAGATTTCCACTCCCAACCTCCTCTCTAGGGTATAAGATTGTCTTATCTCCCCGACCAGTTATCACAGGCCTTGAGGGCAGAAGCTGCATTCTGAGAAGCAACCTTCACAGTTTCAGCACATCTGTGCAGAATGAATGAATGAGTGAGTGAGTGTATGAATGAAATTAATGTCTTGAGAGTTCGACAGGCAGGTCTTCATGTGGGCGGGGAAAAATATGCTCTCTCTTGGGAACTGAACAGATTGACAAGTGAACACAAGATTTCATAATATACTTAGTGTGAGGTTTGGGGTGTTTGGGAGCAGGACAAGCAAGACATTTGAGGGGCTGTGGCATTAACATAATTTCTGCACACAGAGGCAGTGCAGGAACCAGGGGCTGGTGCTGCAGGTTTCACCAGCCCACGTGTGGGCAGGACCTTGGAGAGCTCACAAGCTCCTTGGGTTCCCGTCCGACAGAGCTGATTTGCCAGGTCCCGTTTTCCTATTCTTTCATTCCTTTAGGCATTCGTTTGATAAAGACACGTTGAATGCTTGGGATATTCCAGGTGTTTTATTAAGACCAAAACAAGGTGGGGGCTGCCCTCGAGGGGTTCCCAGTCTGGGGTAAAAACACGTTAGTTCAGGTCCACCTTTGCATTCTCAGAGAGCGGTGTTTATACCACACTGTGGGTGTTTGTCTTAAGGTTTGATTTGATGCAGGGATATGTTTTTCCCTTAAGCCCCCCACAGTCTCTACTTGGAACTGAACCCTCCCCCATGGCTCCCCGACTCCGTTTAGGTCTGAGTGGTGGGTGGGGGAGGGGATTGTTCCGGAAGCGATCCCCGGACGCTGTTCTGTTTACAGCGCTGCCTGCATTTATTTCCCTTGGACGCTCTGTCCTGTTCCTGGTCTGGAAACGGTGATAACCAATGAGCTGCAAACAAGGCTCCAAGCCCGGCCTGGGCTCGTGTGAGCCGCGGAGCCTGGTCCTGCTGCTTTCCCAGCTGGATCTTCCCAGGAGGGGCACACGCTCCCTGGAGATCCCCATCCGTGAGGGGATGAATTGAGTCGTCTTGTCTTCCCAAATGTCACCTCATGGGCAATTTTGTTAACTTAATGAAAGAATCCAAGGGTCCCCACCACGCTTGGGTGATTATTATTTCTGTGTGTCTTCTCTAACATTAATCACGGGATTTTCAGGGATTTCCAGAGTCTTCTGACACTCAAATCGCCCCCCTCGCCCGTTTTGTTCAGAGAGACAGAGCACAGCCGCAGCGGCGAGGGCCTCGGAGTTCAGGTAACCCGGCCTCTCCTGTTTCCGATGCTGTCCCCGAGGTCCGAGGGGACCTGCCTGAGCCCCGGGCTGGCTCTGGGAGAGTGGGGCTGGAACCAGGTCACTGAGGCCCTAGAGCAGCACTGTGAGCACCCACTTATGAGCACCTACTAGGTGACAGGCACTGTGCTGGGCTGTTTACGAACTTTTTATGAAAAACCCTTCACAGCGACCTAGAAGAGAAATGAGAAACTTGCCCCAAGCCATTCAGCAAGCTGCCCAGCCAGGTCTCCGTGACTTCGACACCCCCTCACCCGGGTCCCTCCCGTGGCTTGCCGTCACCCTTAGTCAGACCCCCGTGGTGTTCTCGGCCTGACTGCAGGTACCGTGGGAAACAGGATGCTGGTCTTCAGACTGGTGGGCCAGGGCGCTCCTGGCTGCTCTGGGCGGCATGGTCCTCGAGCACCTTGCCTCTGTCCGGCCCGTGCACCACCCCTGACCCTGCGGGAACTCTTGGGTCAGCGTCTCTGGGGCTGTAAAAGCCTATGACGGGATGAGACTGGCCTAGTGACACTCCGTGCCTCCTGCTTGCAGGTCACATCTGGGTGACCTCCTTTCCCTTGCTCTGTCTCCCACCACAGCTCACCAGGGGCTCTGTGCAAACACGTGACCTGCCACTGTGCATTCATCCACACCCAGACTGTCTCTGCCCGCACCCCCCATGCCCACAGCTCCTGCCCTGGAGGGAGGGAGGGAGGGAGGGCAGGAGGACGTGCACCCCAGCCCCTCCCTCCATTTGCGTGGAGGGACAGCTCTGCTCCTATCTGCCACTGAGCTGGGCCGGGACCTCAGGGCCTTGACAGTTGTCCCTCTTGGCCATTGTCAAGAGCTTGGTCCCACAAGGTGGCTGTGCCCCTTCCCCCAGAATCCCCGCACCACAGATGGGCAAACCCAGTCTGTGCTGGTAAACGATTAGCAACCCAGTCTCTGGAGAGAAAAAGCCTTGGTCTGTGGCGCTCACTCGTATCTGTGCTATAAATACTCCTG